TGGGGTTTGGAGTCATATTTAAGGAGGAAGATGATCCAGAATGTTTGTTAATTTGGTGAAATAGAGACTTGGCGTTGATGTAATTTGGGCTGCTGTCTTAGGCCAAACTAATTTTTAGAGCAACTGAATCTTTCATCTGTTTCTATTTTCCTTCAAAAGTTTGCCTCATCTTTCTTCTCCCTCAATATCAACTAGCCTGACCTCTTCAATGACTTTAGGACTTTACCTTGTTTTATTCAACAATCTTTTTATTACGACAAATTTCAAATTTATTCAAAAGTAGACAGAATAATGCAATGGCCACCCTTTCCCCACTGTACCAGAGGCCATTGATGCCCCACCCATAATCCCTAAACACACACCCTCCTCCTGTACACATGTAGACAGCTTCCAATTGCAAGCATCAGTGTTCTCAATTTGGCCAGGCTCAGCCAGGATGTGGACCAGGCTGGAAGGGCAGGCAGTTGCATCCACCTTGCTGCAGATAATAAAAGTCCAGCTGGTGAGGGATTCCCATATGCAAGGTCTCAATGACAACTGATATAGTTAAGAAAAGGGTGGTAGAGAAGAAAGCGGACCATGGAAAATCTTGGCTTGATTTTAGTACAAGGAATGAATGAGGTAATAAGGGTAGTCTGTAGTAGAAAATAGGATAACCTTAACCAAAGTGTTCATGCTTTTCTTATTTTGACTATGTTTCTGTCAGAATGTTATCTCGTACTGTTTCTTAAAGAAATTATTTTGTTGTTTTTTTTTCTTTGGAATTGATTATTGTCTCAGTCCATTTGGGCCACTATAACAAAATTCCATAAACTGAGTGGCTCATAAACAACAGAAATTTATTTCCCTCCATTCTGGAGGCTGGAAAGTCCAAGACCAAGGGCCTGGCAGACTTGATATCAGTTGAGGGCCCACTTCTTAGAGGGCTGTCTTTTCACTGTAACCTCACATGGTGGAAAGTGATGGGGTTCAGGACACGCTACTCCAAAGTATAGCATCTTGGCATATTGCATATTTCAAGCTGAAGGAGTTTGAGAAAAGGGCTGACACAGGGAAGTCACTTTGACCTTCTCCCCTGAAACAGGTCATAAAACCCTCCTGTGAGAGGTGTCCTTCCTAAAGTCAGAGGAAAGTAGTATCCTTATCTCTAAGGACCAGGGACACAGAGAAGGATCTGAACAAACAGGCCTTGCTAAATTTCCCCAAGTTAACTGTATTTACCTCATTCTACTTGACCTGTCATATTCCTCCACAGCTGACCACTCTTCATCAAAAGTAGCATAAAAATACACAGGTCTGACTGTTTCTTCAGGCTTTCATTTCCTGCTGTAGGCTCCCTTGTCAGGTAAAACTTATAGTAAACAAATTTGTATGCTTTTCTCCTGTTAATCTCTCTGGTCAGTTTAATTTTCAGACCTGGCCAGGGACCCTAAGAGGGTCAAGGGTAATTTTTCCTCCCCTACAATGGGCAAGGAGGCTTTCTAGGGCTTCTTTTATAAGGGTACTAATTCCATTCATGAGGGCTCCACCCTCATGACCTAATCACCTCCCAAAGACCTGAGTCCTAGTACCATCCCCTTGGGAGTTAGGATTTCCACATGTGGATTCTGGGGGCACACATGCAGATCATAGCCATTACATTTCACCTTCTTATTAATATAAGCTTAAAGACAGAAAAAGTACTGTTACTTTTTACCTTAGTAAAGGTGTAACAAGTATTTATGTACATATATACAAAATAAAAACATTGGAATGATGATTATTTTCCATGAGAACCAATATACGTATAGCACTAAAATTAAAGCTTACACAAGAGGAAACATTCATGAAAATTTAGATTTCTGTCAGAAGGGAGAGATTCCATTCAACACTGTCAAGTAGACTTTTTCAATGGCAGGAAATATATCAGGATGCTTATAAAAAAACAGACATAAAGTGTCCTTTATAGATAGTCTGTGGTTTTATTTTTATCTATCAGGCTGATAATTCTGACATAGCTTAAAATCTTATCTCCCAGCAGCTCCATGAATCTAATATCTCTTATCTTTCCAAATATTTTCTGAACAATTTGTAATTAGATGCTTGGTTCAGATATGACTTTAATAGTCAGAAAAATTTAAGGAGTGTGTAGAGCATTTAGTCAAGAAGTGATTCCAATATAGAGGTTTACATATCTGTCTCCACATTGCCATAAACAATAATTAGGGAGAAGGGCTGAACTCTGGCATGATATTTTGAGGGAGGTTTCCTGGAAGATGGAATGAGATCTAAGGGATAAAACGAAGTCTTCCAATGAAGGGAAGAAAGAGGGAACAAAGACTCAACAGAGGTAACTGCACGTGTAAAGAAATTATGCCTCATTTGAGGAGCTGAATAAAATTCAGCATCACTTGAGTATGTCAGTTGACATGGAACGTGAATAGAAATGAAGCTTAAGGGCGCACTTATAATGAGTAGTAAATAAGCCCTGGCAGTTTAATGCACAGTACAGTGACTGTAGACAACAACATTGTATTATAATCAACAAACCTGCTAAGAGACTAGAACTTAATTGTTCTAACCACTAAGATGATGATAATTATGGTTTTTTTTTTTTTTTTGAGGAAGATTAGCCCTGAGCTAACTACTGCCACCCCTCCTTTTGTTACTGAGGAAGACTGGCCCTGAGCTAACATCCATGTCCATCTTCTACTTTATACGTGGTTGCCTATCACAGGATGGCATTTGCCTAGCAGTGCCATGTCTGCACCTGGGATCCGAACCAGTGAACCCCGGGCTGCCGAGAAGCAGAACGTGCGAACTTAACCACTGTGCCACCGGGCCGGCCCTGATAATTGTGTAATGTGGTGGAAGTGCTAAGTATTGCTACAATGGCAATCATATTACAATGTATAAATGTAACAAGTTAACCTATTGTACACATTAAAATTACACAATGTTGTGTGCCAGATATAAATAGTGGAGGTGCTATGTGAAACCAAGCAGTCTAACTTCCGAGTTGGTGTTCTTAACTAAAACTGCAGGCTCGCATTCCCTAACTCTCAGAACTTGACTTCGACCTCCTGATTTATTCCCTCACCTTAAATCACCTTTTCCTTATTGCCTCCCGTTATTCTTTTCACATGGATAACTCTTCTTATAAATCACTTGCATGGGAATCTATGTCCTAGGCCTGCTTCCGAGGAACCTGAGACACATTATCTTCAGCACTGCTAGAGAATGATGGCAGTGACTTCTCTGTCTTTGATTGGTTGATTAGTGTTTGAAATAGTTGTAACTACTGATAAAGTACCAAAGGACATCGATATCTTGAGATACATTTTGAGCTGTAAGTTATGATCACATTCATTGAGAACAATCTGTCTTCTTAACTGTGATTTCTCAAGGAGTGCTTGATGAATGTTCCTGCCAATGAACCTCAGATGAGCCTATCTCAACCTTTCGATGTGGTTCTAATAAAATGTTACTCAAAACAAAGGAATAAGGAATTTGAGAGAGGCAGGGTAACATCATAATAATTTACATTTATAGAGTACTTACTCTGTGTATGGCACTGTCTTAAATGCTTTATACATTGCAATTCATTTGTTCTTCCCAACAACAGCATGAAAAACGTACTATTTTACAGACAGGTTTAACTTGAGCACAGAGAGGTTAAATTACATGCCCAAGGTCTCACAGTCACCACTACTACAAAGGTAGCAGGATTAGCAATTATCATGACAGTCTCAGATGTAACATGCACACTCTCCTCCATGGTCTTCTCTGCAAATGCACCACAGCACTACCATAAAGGGCTGACTGGCTTTTTCAGAGCTGACTGAATGGTTAGAATGATTCAAGAGAATTACAATTTTTAGGCAAGGGGAAATATTAAAATTGTATGATCATATGTCTTTCCCCATTGTCCAAGGTGGGAAAACTTAAGGGGGTCAATTCTTAGACATACCCTGTCTCAGCTCAGGCTGCCGTAAAAAAATACCACAGGTTGCGTGTCTTAGATGACAGGAATTGATTTCTCACAGTTCTGGAGCTTCTAAGATAAAAGTGCTGGCTGATTCAGTTCGGGCGAGTGTCCTCTTCCAGGCTTGCAGATGGCCACCGTCTTGCTGTGTGCTCACATGGCTTTTCCTGGGTTAACGCACTTGGAAAGAGAGAGATCTCTCTGGTGCCTCTTCTTATAAGGGCATTCATCTGATCCTAAGGGCCCTGCTTCATGATCTCACCTCACCTAATGATCTCCCAAGGCCCCATTCTCTAAAGCACATTGGGAGTCAGGGCTTCAGCATATGAATTTAGGGGGACACAAACATTTATTCCAGGACCCAGCCCACTCCCTAGACTTTCTCTTATTTTTATCTTCATCTCTGAGAGGGAAACTTACTTGAAAACTTCTCAGTGCAAATTTTGATCTTTACTTAAGTCACTCATATCTTACTCACATGGTTTGATGTTGTCTGAGACTTCATCACCCTCCTAGCCCCACTCCTACAGGCCTTGTGACTCCTTCTTTCACCCTGGACTTGGAATCTCTTACTTCACTTACTCTGAAATCCCCTAAATCTGTTGATGTGGTGACCACCAATTCCTGGGTTTTTATGTTTCCCACTTTCGCTGAGTCTGAGAGACTCATTCCACTGACCGTGTGACCCTTACCTCTACTAACCTTAGAACGCTGGTCAACTCCAATCCTGTGACCGACACCTGGACCCACTGTCTCTCACTCTTGAAGATCATATGATTGTCATCCCTATTGACTCCATTTCCTCCTCCTCCACTGTCCCTGAGGTCTCCACCCTCAGTGACTCCAACCCATTGACAGTGTAATCCCCTTAATCTTGACACCACCTTGATGGCAGTATTACTCTCTCCACTACTATCACAGAAAACACCATTCCCACATAGTCATCTTCTCTCTATCCCAATTTGCTTCTTGCCAGTATTTTTTTGATCTCTTGGGCACAGCCTCTGAATCTCATTTTATAGTCAAACTGCTTAAGTGACTGAAAAATTAATCAAAGATCTTTTTTATTGACACACAACAATTTTGGCTTGAAAATCAAAGTTAATCTATGATATTTGATACCTCTTAGTTAAAGGCCATTATGGATTCATTAAACAAATACAAAAAGCATTAGCACAGGTTAAGTGAACATTTCAGTTTTCAAGGCCACAGTGATCTGAGAGACAGGCGCCATGCTATGCAGGGGTTCTATTCCCATTTCAACTTATCATGTTAGGAGGTCCTTCCATTTGTCAACGAGAGTGTTTTCCAGAGAACAAAAGGAAAACAGTTCAAGAACACCAGTTTCCTTCATAACTTTTCTGTTTCAGGATTTCTCCTGGAGACCTGGGTAATTTGACCTGAAACTGAGAGTATGCTTGAAGCCCTTAGAGGAGACAAAGCCAGCAGAGTCAGCACTCCTATCTCCAGCTCTGAAGATGCAAATCCTTGGCCTGCTGTTCCCTGGACTGTCTGTTTCACAGGCTGTGGAGGTGTAGCGAGTCATGCCTGTATATGGAAGCCAATGGATGCCCTTACGTCCCAAATGAGGAACTTTTCTTCTTTGTATTAGAATTCCTCTAGCTTATCAGCTTTGAGAAGCAGCAGAAGTTGTTGTTTCGGAAGGTGTGGGTTTGCAGAACAATGATTTCGTTCCCCTCTGAGGTCCTTGGCTGGCTTCAGAGTGCTCTTCATTTTCATTCAGACCATGGCCTATGGCTCAAATAGTGTGAAAATTCCCAAGGGTGCCTGATAAGCATTTCCTTACATTGTAATACATAAAATAGGATCTATTATTAAAATATCAGAACCTAAAAACTACATACGTTATGATGTTTTATTCTTGGAGTAATAGATTTTGTAATCATCAATGACTTCATCACATTTGACTTTGCCCACGGCCTTGATTAAAATGGCCCTTCTTACCTAGTCCCAAATCTTGCTCCAAAAGCCACTCCTTCTCAGACTTGTGCACAGCACTAGGCTTTGGATACCTAAGCTCTTGTGAACCCTTTTTTTCTTTTTTAAACATGCAGAGGGAACTGCCAAAAAGCCAGGGTAGAAGAGAGTAGTGGTGACATGAGAAAAACAATTATTGATTTCTATTTTCCATATTTGCTTGATGTTTCCTGAACTGACGCAGACTCTATCCTGGCCAAGTCTCTCTTTTATGGTTTCCCTGAATGGAATACGCTTAAATATCACTCTGCTTGGGAATCGTGAGCTTTCCCTGAGCGTCTTTCCACTCAAGGGTTAGTAACTTTCCTGCACAATTTCAGAGGGTGAAAAAATGCTCTTAAAAGATAAGGACAACTTATACCTTCCATCTAAGAACTGCATATTGGTCGAAATATCCATATAGAAATTTGTAGCAGTCTGAAATGGTTTTTGATTTCCCTCTATAAAAATGACTTTCTCCGACACTTATAAAACATTAAATATTTCAAAGTCAAGAAAAATTCCTGATAATAGTTTAAAACATGAAGTCGTTCTTTTAAGTAGATCCTATGTAATTTTATTATATGTTCGTACGTTTTTAGTAATTTGTTTTTAAACCAGAAGGAGTTGAGGCAAAGAAAAATGAAACCCTTTCACAGGAAATCTTCAGCTCTTGAAATGCTAAAGATCTGTCTTTAGATGTGTCGCTTGAAAAATGGAAATAATGAGGATTCTCATTGTGAGGAGCGGGTCTTTTAGGATTGTTCAGGTACTGTGACTTTTTTGTTCAGATACTGGGGCTCTTTTGTGGTCATTGAATATTATTGTTTTTTCAGGTCATCAAGCGCATTCTGCTTTGTGATTTTGGTCCATGCATCAGGGATTTCACCTCTACCTCTAAATTTTTGCTGATATCTTTCTTCTAGTTTTGATCTGAAGTGACAGACAAACCATTTCCAGTATGGCTGGGTGGAGGAGTCTGGGGTAATGCTCCATGTGGCAAACTCTCCTCCTGCCTGTCGATAGTTCTTATATGGGTATTTCTGTTCATCTCCCAAAAGGAAAAGAAGATCACTTGCTACATTACTAGTACAGAACTCAATGGAAAAGTGGTCTGTGTTAACCCATTTCCCTCCACTGACAGCCCGAGGACGGTGGAAGGGAACACTGTGGTCTCCGTCATGTGCAGGTAATGTGTTTGTACAAATTGCTCTACAGAAGGGACACTGTTTCCAGCAGCCACCCAGATGTTTAGAGAGCATTTCCTCGATTTCAGAAGCCATTTCTTCTGCAGACATACTCAAGTAGTTCTGTTCTGCTCTTTTCATTGCAGGATCCAGAGCTTCAGTCATGGCTTTTTTGAGAAAGTCGATATCTTTTATCTCCTGGTGTTCAATGCTTATCAAGTCTTTTCGTGGAAAGATCAAGTTACTCCGTAGGTAATCACAGAACAAATCCAACCACTCAGACACAGTGCTGCTTTCACCTTTAGCTAGTGCTGTGGATTCAGGAATAGCAGAGAGGATGGCATTCTTGATGTCATCTAAACATCTATTTAAGAAAGTCTTCATTTTTTCCCTTCCAATGTCTGAGCAATATTTTTCAATATGGCTTTTAATGTAATTCCTAAAAAATGATTTTGGATCATGAATGTACTGCCAGTAATTATCAAAATTTTCTTCTTCTGCCAGAGAGATGAGAATGTGTTTTTCCAGGTTTGCCCTGTTTCCATTGAATGCGGGGCAGGTAGCTCATATGTCCCCAGCAATGTTAGGGACCATTTTTTTCCTTATGGTGGTGAAAATAGCAGGAGTGAGTTTTTCCCACAGAAAATCAACAAATGTTTTGATTGAGGTTGCTCCTTGACAAGAGATCTTAAAACTCATGAAGAAATCATCTTTTTTGCTTTGCAGATAGTTTACAGGATCATTTGCTCTCTTGAATGCCTCATGCATCTCGTTAATTTCTTTGATGCTCTTTGGAATAAATGCAAAGATAAGTCAATTTTATAATCACTCGTAAATGTGTATCTTTCCCCAGTGGGTGCAGATTTCACCTCCTCATCTATTATTCTCAGGATTTCGTGGAAATAACTAGGGTTGTAATCATGCTGTTGCTTCTCAATGTTATTAATAGTTTCAGTGAATCTTGAAAGAATGCGGTCAGTAGTCATCTTTATGGATTCTTTATCAGAGACCTCTAATTGTCTTTTAAGTACAAAGTATCTCTTGGTCATTTTGACATGTTTCTCATAGGTGATTTGAAATGTTTCTCCAGAACTTCTCTTCAGTATGTCCCCCATGTTTTTCTCCTGTTTGAAATGATTCAAAAGGATGTCTTCAGAATGCACATCTATGTCAGGCTTTGTGATTGGAGGGAGCGTTGAGGACACAGCATAGACCCATTTTTTCCAAAGTTGATCAAATTTCTCACGTAGCTCTTCCTCACTCAGTTCTTTGTCCTTCACAGTTAGAGCCAACTTTCGGCTTTTTTCTAATAATTCTTTTTCATAGCCTGACTTTTGGTTATCTAGTTCTTCTTGACATTTTTTAAAACTAATAAGTTCATTGGCTATTCTTTGGCTGTCTGAAATAAGTGCCTCTTTCAGGATTATTAGCTTATGTTCAAAATTTGCTTTCCACTGAACCAGTATTTCACTATCTGGATCTTCTTCAAAATATTTCTCGAAACCTTGCTTGATGGCTTCATATTTTTCTGAAACTGAAGCCTCGAATGTGCTTGTCCTGAATGTCTGGATTTTTCCATTCTGAATCTGGTTGATCAGTTTATTCTGCAAGCTCAGCACATGACTCCTCAGCTCCCAGGTCCAGTTGTTATACATGGTTTCCAATTTGCTCATGGCCATGACTTCTCGGGTGTTCCTGAAGCTGAAAATAAAGTTCTCAGTCAACAGGGCTCTCCACAAATCTTTAACTCGGAATTGTACATCTGATACTTTCATGATACTTCCCCTAGATTCCTCTTTGGCAGTCTCAAGAATTCTACTTTTCAGTTCCTGGACATTGTGGCTGTAGCGAGGATTGTGCGGGGCCATCGGGGGATTGCCATCCCAGAGATGAGCAAAGTAGTAGACATGAGTACTGGCATCAAACTTGATGACATCACTAAAGTGGGTTACATCTGAGCACTGTTCTTGTTCAGCCGCTGTTGCTGTCATTTCATCTAGTTTCTGCTCTAGCCGCCTTCGTCCTTCCATTGTTTGGTCTTTAGCTGTAACTTCCCCCACATTCTGATGGATAAAGAGGCAACTTGGGGAGATTTTTACTTGTTTCATCCTCAGAAAGGCTTGGACAGCTATTTGTAGAATATCTTGCATTTCTGATGGATTTTCCCCAAAAATATTGATCAGAGTCAAGTTTCCAAGTCCAATGACAAAGGATGCCAACTCATTGTCATGATTTTGGGATTTATTGCTGAGTTCTGGGGCCCGAAGTCCTTCTGTGTCCACAATAAGCATAAAGTCAAAGCCGAGTTCCTCCGTGAATGTCTCTTCCACCTTCAGGAGCTGCATGTAGGCCCCCCGAGTACACCTCCCAGCACTGACAGTGAACTGCAGCCCAAAAAGGGCATTCAGCAGGGTGGACTTTCCTGAGCTCTGCAGGCCCAGGACAGAGAGAACGAAGAGCCGTTTGTCTCCAAGTTTCTCTGCGACCATGTCAAAAACAGCTGCCACCCACTTTAGAGGCACATAGGAAGCATCCCCATCCATCAGCTCGATGGGAACACCGGCTATCATCAGCTCTGCAGCAATCTGGGGAAGGGAAGAAAAAGGCTATCTCTGGCGGAGGAAGCTTCTCCAGAGCTTCATAGATCTGGCCAACTTCTCTGAGAAGCTGCTCAATTCCCAAGGTACAGTTAGTAATCTCTGCAGAGAGAGCTTCTATCTCATTTTGCCACCTTTTCAGGTTGTTGCTCTTTGGTGCCTTTTGCTTTTCGGTTTGTACCTGTTTGTACAAAGACTTTTCTTTTCATTCAGTTTTTCCAAGTGACCTATGGTCAGGTTGTGCAAAAACACACTCAGCCATTGCAAGAAGTAGAGTTTGTGTCAGTTTCTGACAGTTTTTGAGAATCTGAAGGACAGATAGCATTAAAGCATTGAGAGGAAAGGCTCTATTCACCTGTTGATGCCGTATAATTTGTTTCTTTCTCTCAATCTACTCTTGTGTTGTTCGATGCTCGATTCCCCTTTTCTCTCAGATGGTAGAATTCTTTGTCCTTTTTACACCAACGGTGCCACAGTTCTCCTTGAAGGGGTAGTAATTTTTCCTTCATCTGGGATATCTTCGTTTCTCTTAACAAGGCCATTAGAACCTCTGCCTTTTCTTTGGCTTCCTTGCAATCTCTCTGGTCCTCATCGATCAGGAATCCTTGCTTGCGAGCAATCTGGGCACAGTCCTCTAAGCTGAGAGCAGCTCCAGAGAGCTCTAGAAAACGTCTGATTGTAGTTGTGAGCTCCTGTGTTAATTCTGCCTCATTTCTGTTCCGGAGCCCAATTTTTACTCTTTGGACAGAATTATTGGCCATGGTTCTTTCTTTGTCATCAAGCAAACAGATCAAAGGTTTTGATGACTGCCACAGGTCACGGACAACTTTTTGGTTTTCTTTATTGTCATCAGAAATTGACATGAGGACCACAATGAGAGAAGAGACCTCCTGCAGGAAGGTGAGTTGCTTCTTATGTTTCTTTGCATCTCCGTGAAGATTGATGAAGGTCAAGCAGTTGTCAAATCTGTCCTCATCCTCTCCCCCTGGACAGAACCAGCAGACTTCCACCACACCCTCCATCAAGAGACAGTCTTTGCTGCTCTCTCTGCAATGTCGGTGAAAAAAGGCGTCATGTTTACGTTTACTGAGAAGACAGTTCATGATCTGAGATTTGGAAGCAGAGAAGCCATCTCCAACTCTAATAAACGACACAATGGGGGTAGAGACACGACACATCTGCTGATTGTTGTAATTGGTTTTCTCCTCTTTTGGTGATTTCTTTGCCTGCTGCCAGCTTCTCCTAATTTGACTCAGAGACCAGAGAGAGAATTCAATCTGAGAATTGCAGGGATTAGGTATGAGAAGGGGAGGGCAAACTGACAAACAGAAAGTTTGGTCAAAATATATTGTCTGGCAAAACCATCTGCACAGAGAAGAATTGCCATCTGAATATCCATAGGGTGGATATGTGGCCTGGGATTAGTGGTAGGATTAGTGGAACTATCACGATCTTCAAAAAAGTCTTCATATGGATCAGAAGCCTCATCTTCCTGATTTGAGGCTGTTGATAAACTTGATTCTCTGTGATTGCATCATCTTTAAGACCAGGTATCTCAGCCCATAATCCAGCATCACTAGCTTCTGCAGGAAATAGAAAGGAAGCTCACGTTCAGAGCTGGCTGGGTATGTACACAGAAGTCTTGTAGATCAGATGAAGTTAGCTTTGCTCATCCTTTTTGGGTAGTAATGTTCTAGGCCTAGACGCTGGAGTAATTCTAGGAAGGCTCCATTTTCAATGAGCTCTGATTTGTTATTTTTATTCTTGTGTATTTCTTGGGGTTGTTTCTTTTCATGGAAGAGACTTTGCAATTGTTTTCTCACCTCATCCATTTTCAACGAAGAGACAGTGGCTTCGTAATTCCCATCAATGAGCAATCTCAAGTCTTCCTCTAGGTTTTCCCAGTCATGATCTGCTCCAAGTTTGGTGAGGACATGTTTAACTTCTTTTGACAGGGATTGCCCCATGTGATGTCTAATTAAAGCCAAGCGTTGTGTTTTCTCCTCTGGAGAAACAGCTGTGACTCCACAGTAGCTGTCAGACCTGTGAGCACCAGGAATGCTTGAGCCCTGTAGCTGCAAATGCTTTTGAGCTCCTGATATTTATCATGGGCAGTTTGCATTTCATCCAGTAGGAAGTCTAACTCATCACACCCAGGAGATATTGAAAAGTATTGTTTTCCACATGATATCCTGCACCAGCAGCAATGGAAAGTAGCAAGAGCTGTGTGTATGGCTGCTCTTGCTCTTGGAGGTGATTCAAGAAGCAGCCAAGATGCAAGCTGACCTCATAAGTGGCTTTCCTTTGAGCTTCCTCCACTGTTTCTGGGGACTCAGATTTGGCCTTCACTCCCTGAAGTCGTTCTGTGTTTCTTTTAAGATTTTAATGAATTAGAAAATTGGGAGATGTTGATATGCTCTTGCTCTGACTCTGATTGGAAGATCCACTGCATGATGGAATGAGCCTGAGGAAAGTTTGTCACTCTGTAGATGTGAGGGTCCAGAAGGGTGCGCAACTGAGATTTAATAAATGTAGTGTTAGGAACGGAGGACTTTTTGTAAAAGTTGACAAGGTTTACCAGAAAATTCTGAAGCCCCCAATCTTGAGGCATATGTTAATCCAAGTGTCATAGCTTTTTATTTTTTGACTCAACATTTGCATGAAATTTATCAGTATTTTAAGCTGCTCTTCAGGATCAGATACCTCCCAGGATTCACCTCCTCTAGGAAAACCTAGCCTCCTTGCCAACATTCAGTAATACTTCTCCATCTTGGATCTGGGCAGGAAGCCAGTCAGAGCAGCATAGCTGTCTTTCAGGCAATTAGCTACCTGAAGAGGTCCTTAAAATCACTTCTGTGGCTGGAAAGAATGATGTCCCAAACGGCACCAGCTGAAATCCCCGGTCAATGACACACCAGGTTTGATTACTGGCAACTAGGCCAACTTTCCACTGCAAAAGGCCATTTGCTTCTGGTGGGCCACCTTCTGGGCCACAGATAATTGGACTTTGGTTTGGAGACTTTGGAAGGTTGTGCTTCAGAGGTTGCTTTTGAATGAGAGTCTGACACATCTACACCTGCAGCAACTTTCACTCCAAAGCCACTGTAGCTGCCCCTTATGTAACTATCCAGGGCCTCTGCAGACTGCTGCTTCACTTCTGCAGCTGCTCACTTTGGAAACCCTCTGAAATGGCTTTCCACCAGTAGATTCCTCCCAGGTGCAGAGGCCCTGGTTAGCTGAGAGCCAAACCTGGAGAAGAAGGCTCCGTCCTGCACTCAGCAAGGAGAGTCCTTCTGGGCCTTCAGCTGACCCAGAAGGTCTTCAATGCATTTCAATTCCTGGAGAGCAGCCTTGGAGAACTGGAGCTGATCAATGGGAAAGTGGCAGGAGGCCAGCGGGACATAGCTGAACTTGGTTGAGCAGAAGTAAGAGTGCTCAGAACGTGATTGTCGGGTCTCCTTGGATTCTGTATGTTTGCTGTGATCCATACCAGCTTCCAGGCTAAATCCCCAACCTCCTGCCTTGGCTGAGGCAGTTACACTGAAGCCCAGCTTCTCTATAGTCTGGGTGAACATAGATTCTGCTTGAGAAGATGTAAATTCCTTTGTTTCCATCCGTGGACCCTGCTCAGGGCCAAAGAGTGAGAACTCCTTGGGGACACAGAGTAGCTCCTCTCTCTTCTCTATTAGGCCCTGTTGGTAGCTGGTTTTGTAAATTCCCTGCAGGGCCAGCCCTCCAGATGCCCATCTCACCAGATCTCTATCTGGCAGGTTTTGCCTATGAGACAGGATCCCTTCCATGAGGTTGAGTTGTCGCTGCATGTTTTCCATGACTTCTTTTAGGGACTTTTCAGGGGGTGGCCAGTACTCTTTGGGGATGTCCATTGCCTCCCTCAGCTCTGCCTCTTTTTTCCTCACTGCCTCTTCCTGTCGCTGCCTCCCCTCAGACAGCAAGTCTCGTAGCTCCTGCAGTGCCTGCAGTGCCTGCTCTGCCTGCTTCTGCTTTTTCTGTATCATTTCCACCTGAGAGTCCTGTAGCTCTGAAAGACTATTTGAGTGTGACAGGTCAAGCAGCTTCTCCAGGGCCCTTTTCTCCCAGGGATGTTGTGCCTGGGATTTCAGCTTCTGGAGGTCTTTTTCTTCCAGGTGCTGTAAGGCCTGGGCACAGGTGACACCCAGGTGTTCCTGCAGCTTGGGTAACCAGTACTCAACTGGCAGTCCTACCTCTCTCAGCATCTCTTGGAGATCTTGCCTCCTTTTGCCTCTGAGCAGGGGCTCATCAGGGGTGAACCTTACTGTGTCCATTGCTGTGGAGGGTAAAAACACATAGTTAGCCTGTGTGAAGACCTTAGGAAGTGTCAGCCCCACGGCCAACAGGGTGAGTGTCTTAAAGGAGCAACTCTTTAAGGCTTTCTCCTCTCCTCCTTTCATTGTACTAAGAAATATATTTTGTTAAGACTGTTAAATTTTTTGTGCACAAGACATCTTTTTGGGTGTTCTCAGCATGGCTTGCCTTTTGAGTTGTGAGGGTGAACTGTAAATTAGTAGCCTGGCTTTTTGGCACTTCCTATTACACAGAATCAATTGTATGAAGAGCATTAAGCTGAGGGTTGGAGTTTGAAAATATGCATGAGTTTCATAGCCTGATGTTTCTTTTAGAAACAAGAGTGGTACCACCAATTATCTTTCTTCTCTTAGTTTTTGTCAAACTTGTGTTGAATGATTTCCCTCCTGTCTCTCTGTCGCTTCTTCTTAAGGCATTTCATGATATTTATTTGCTCTCCTGTCCTTTAAAATTCTCTTCTAGATATCAGCATCATGGTGGCATAAGATGTTCCTCCTTTTTGTCTCTTTTTTAAAACAACTAATTAGACATCCACGCATGAACAAAAGTGCTTCTGTTGAAGTTGTGGTATCTAGTAACATAAGCCAAGACAATGTGGGAGGATTCTGACTCACCCATGCATCTGATAACAGGCAAAAGAACTCAGTACGGCCTCTGGAACCAATGAACTTGCCCAATTCCTCCTGCCATGGTTGGAAAAAACCTGGAATGTGCTGACTTGGGCAGATCGCCATGGATGGGAGAGAATTTGCAAAAGTGCAGCCTTCCTGAAGGGAGATTCCAGCACATGTTCAGTGATATTGCATGGGGCTTGACAATACAGTGGCTGTGACCTCTCCCGTGGGGAAAAAGGAGATTGGTGAGTGAGTGTTTGCCTACCTGAGTTGCTCGGGATATGGCCATAGAAACCTGTTTCTTTCCAGCAGTACCCAGAGTACTGAGGCCGGACCTCCATGACTGGAAAGAGATTGGGAAAGAGGCAGATAAGAATATCAAAGGCCATTAAAAGGACACAGTTGCTGCTGATTCTACTCAGGACTTCAGAAGGAAGTCCTCCCATAAGCCTCTGGGAGAACTCAACCACCAGTCTCCAAAACTGGTGTGCAGACACCCCCATCACCCGAGTGCTAAACCCACAACTCCCTTCACTGTGTGACTGGCTCCTTGTGCACACTCATTATTTGATGGGCAACAGCTAGTCTGGTAAGTGAGGTGCTATCAGAAAAACAGACCAGGATCTCTGGGCAAGGGAGAAACCACACACTTCAGGGATAGCACCACATTCTGGAAAACAGAAGTGAAGTTTCCAGTAGCCAGGCTGGTGAATTGTAAGAACCAGAGAAGACATAAAATTGTAACAATTCTGTCACAAGAGAGCAAAAAGAGTGGAGCAGATGTACTCAAACAAAGGAAGATAAAACTCAAGCACCAAAACCCGAATACCCCCTCTAAAGGCCACTAGTAAGGATTTAATGAGGCATTTGTTACTGGAATGTGAAAGAAGCAATGCAAAACCACAAGAGCATGAAAAATCAGGGAAACATATCATCACCAAAAGATAATAATGATTCTCCAATAACCTAACACAAAGGCATTGAACTTTGTGCCCTGGCTGATAAAGAATTCAAAATAGCTGCTTTGAAGTTACTCAGTGAGCCTCCAGAAAACTCAGAAAGACAAGTCAATGAAATAAAGGGAAAAATACCATGACAAAATGAGACGTTTACCCAAGACATAGAGATCACAAAAAAGAAACAGAAATTCAGGAGCTGGAAAATATAATGAATGAAATGGAAAATGCCATAAAAAGCATCTGCTTCAGAGTAAGGAAAATGGAAGACAGAATAAGTGAGTCAGAGGACAGGAATTTTAAAATAACCCAATTAGAGGAGAATAAAGAAAGAAGATTGGAAAAACGCAAAGAAAGCCTACATGATCTATAGGATCCATAAATAAAACAAAAATTAGAATAATCAGGATTCCAGAAGGAGAAGAGGAGGAGAAGGGTGCAGAAAGTTTATCTAAAGAATTAATAGCTGAGAACTTCCAAGACCTGGGGAGAGACTTGGACATCCAATTTACAACAAAGTTGGTAGATCCCCCTATTAACTCAATGCAAAAATACCTTCTCCAAGACATGTTACAGTGAAACTGTCAAAAATCAAAGATACAGAGAAAATCCTAAAAGCAGCCAGAGAAAAAAAGATTGTAACCTACAAAGGAACCCTCATTAGACCATCAGCTGATTTCTCAGCAGGCAGTACATAGAAGAGGTGAGAGTAGAAGGATGTGTTCAAAGTATTGAAAGAAAAAAATTGCCAGCCATGAATACTCTAAGTGTAAGATTACTCAACAAGGAAACATTGGATTTGAAACATACATTAGAACAAGTGGACTATACAGAAATTTATAGAACATTCCATGCAATAGCAGCCAAATCTGCATTCCTCTCAAATGCATACACAGTATTCTCCAGGATAGATCATATGATAGAGCATAAAACATGTCTCAGTACATTTAAGAAGATTAGAATTATACCGAGTATCTTTACTGACCACGATGGTGTGAAACTAGAAATCAACAACAAGAGGAAAGCTGGAAAATCTGCAAATATGTGGAAATTAAGCAACAGACTTCTAAACAACCAATGGGGCAAAGAAAAATCAAAAGGGAAATCAAAAAGTATCTCAAAACAAATGAAAATGGAAACATGACACTCCAAGACCTATTGGATGCTTTCAGAGAACAAGAGCAGTGGGAGTACTTCCTAATTTATTCTATGGGGGCAGCATTACCCTAATACCCAAAACCAAACAAAGACGTTACAAGAAAGCAGAGCTGTAAACCTGCATCTCACAGGAATAAAATATTAGCAAATTGAATCCAACAATGTACAAAAGAATTATACACCAATACCAAGTGGGATTTATCTCAGGTGTGCATCACAACACACTAGGAGGAAAAACCAAATGATCATATCAACAGATGGAGAAAAAGCATTCGATAAAATCTAACACCAATTCATTATAAGAACTCTCTGCAAACTAGGAAAAGAGGAGAACTTCCTAAAGTCGATAAAGGGAATTTACAAAAACCCTACAGCTAACATACTTAATGGTGAGAAACTAGAAGCTTTCTCCACTAAAGTCAGAAACAGACAAGGATATCCCCCTCACCACTTTTATTCAGCATCCTACTAGAATCCTAGCTGATGGATTAAGATAAGAAAAGGAAATGAAACCTAAACAGATTGGGAAGGAAGAAATAAAACTCCTTTTGTTTGCAGATGACACAATTGTCTATGTATAAAACCCCAAATAATTAACAAGTTTCTTTGAATTAATAAGTGAATATAGCAAGGCTGCAGAATACAAGTATTAACATACAGAAATCATTGTTTTCCTATATACCAGGTATAAACAATTGGAATTTGAGATTAAAAACACAATATCACATACATTAGCTCCCCAAAACTGAAATACTTGGGGATAAAGCTAACAAAATATGTGCAATATCTGTACAAGGAAAACTACAAAACTCTGGTGGGAGAAATCAAAGATCTACCTAAATGGAGAACTATTCCATGATCAATGTTGTTAAGACATGAGTTCTTTACACCTTCACCTATAGAGTCAATGCAATCTCCATCAAAACTCCAGCAAGTATCGTGTGGATATGAGCAACTTGATTCTAAAGTCAGTTTACAAGGAAAGGTAAAAGTTCCAGAACACAATATTGAAGGAGAAGAACAAAGTCAGAATACAGATACCCCCAGTCTTCAAAACTTACTATAAAGCTTTAAAATAATCAAGACAATGTAGTAGTGGTGAAAGTATAGACAAATAGAATTGATGAACAGAATAGAAGATGTAGAAAGGGACTCTCACAAATATAATCAACTAATCTTGAAAGGAGTAAAGGCAATCTAATGGGGGAAAGGATAGTCTTTTAAACCAATGATGCTAGAATAACTGGACATCCACATGCAAAAAAGTGAATCTAGACCCAGACCTTACACCCTTCAAAAAATTAACTCAAAATAGATCATAGACTGCAATATAAAAGGCAAAACTATAAAATTCTTAGAAGATAACATAGGAGAAAACCTGGGTGAAGTTGGTATTGATGATGACTCTTTATATATAACATTAAAAGAATGATCCATGAAATAAAATGTAATAAGAGGAATTGATTAAAACTAAAAACTTCTGTTATGTGAAAGACACTGTTAGAGGAATGAAAGCATAAGCCAAAGGCTGGGAGCAAATCTTTGCAAAATGCATGTGATAAAGGACTGGTATCCAAAATGTACAAAGAACCCTTAAAACTCAACAATAAGAAAAAAAAATCCCAATTGAAAATTGAGCAAATTTTCTGAACAGATAAACACCAAAAATGTTATACAAATGGCAAGTAAACATATGAAGAAATACTCAGCATCTTTCTCATTAGAAAATTAAAACAAGATACCACAACGAACCTATTTGAAGGGCTAAAGTCCAAACACTGACTCCACCAAGTGGTTGCATGGATGCAGAGCAATAAGAACTCTCATTCATTGCTGGTGGGAATGCAAATTTTATAGCTACTTTAGAAGACAGGTTGACAGTTACTTACAAAAGAACCATACCTTTATTGTATGATCCAGCAACCACACTAGTTGATATTTACTGCAATGAGTTGAAAATGTATAGTCACACAAAACCTCCACATGATGTCTATGGAAGCATTATTCATAACTGCAAGCTTGGATACAAACAAGATTTCTTTCAGTAGGTGAATGGATAAAGAAAACTGTGATACATCCATACAATGGAGTATTATTTAGTAAAAGCAAAGAGCTATCAAGCAATGAAAAGACATGGAGGGACATTAAAAACATATTGCTAAGTGAAAGAAGCCAATCTGAAAATGCCAAATATTTATGATTCCAATTATACGACGTTTTGGAAAATGGAAAGCTAAGGAGGCTGTCAAAAAATCAACGGCTTCCAGGGAGAGGAAGGTAGTGAAACAATTTTTTATAGTATTGTAATGGTGGATCATGTCACCATACATTTGTCAAAACCTATAGAATGTATAATACAAAGAGTAAACTCTAGTGTAAACCATAGACTTTAGTTAGTAATAGTGTCTCAACATTGGCTGATCGATTGTAACAAATGGTAAAAGAAAAACTTCAACAAAATATTAGCAAATTGAATCCAACAATGTAGATGAGGAAATATACATCACAACCAAGTTGCATTTATCTCAGGTATGCAAGGCTGGTTCTACGTACAAAAATCAATTAATGTAGTACATCATGTCAAGAAGCTAAAGAAGAAAAATCACATGGTCACATCAATAGATGGAAAAACCATTTGACAAAATCTAACACCCATTCATTATAAAAACTTTCAGCCAACTAGGAATACAGAGGGACTTCATAAACTTGATAAGGGGCATTTACAAAAACTCTACAACTGACATACTTAATGTTAAAAAAGGCAACAAACCATTCTTTACAGCTTTGTGTTGATGGGGTTCAGGGCAGGATGCCCCAAGATGACCCACTCTGGTATGTGGATTATTTTGAGCTGAAGACAATAAAGGTTCAGACTCAAGAAGAATATTCGACCCTTGCCCACTAACTGTCTAAAAGAAATTGAAAATAAAGGCCTGTCCCCAGGACAGGCCATCACCATAGATGACTCTGGGTATCCCGTAGACTGGGAGGATCCTTGCTAAGCTCACTCTTCTCAAAGTTCTATCTACTAAACATTTGCTTTTCCATTTCCATGTGAGTTGCCTTCCTCTCCTTTGAAGTCCCAATTTGCTACCTGAAACGTCCTCCTTGTCTGCAGCTGAAGATACTTAAACAGGCAACCTCAGCCAGTTGGCTGAGTTACTCAGTTTCTCCTGAGTTCCTCCCATGTATACATGCTATTAAACTTTGTTAGATTTTCTCCTGCTAA